TCCCTAGACAAAATGATTTGATCAACAATAATAAGGTGGTCTAAATTGCATTTAAGGTGATTTGAAATCGGGCCAGGAACAATTTGGGTTGAATTTAGGTCAGGTCAATAACAAGTCGTGTTGATTTCGTGTCGGGTTAGTAACAAATTGGGTTGAATTTTTGGGTCTGTTTAGTAATAGGTCTGGTAAAATTCGGGTCGAGTCAATAACAAGTCGGGTTGAATTTGGGTCAGATTAATAACAAGTCGGGTTTAATTTGGGTCAGGTTAATAACAAGTCGGGTTGATTTCGGGTAGGGTTTGTAACAGGTTGAGTTAAATTCGGGTCGGGTTAGGAACGAATCGGGTTGAATTCAGGTCAGGTTAGTAACAAGTCGTGTTAAATTCAGGTTTTGACGGGTTAAACGGGGTTGGGTCAATTCGGTTCAAGTCGGGTTCGGTTTAGGTCAATAATTTACGGGTTACATTCGGGTCGGGTCATCTACATGTTAGTTCATTTTTGGGTTCGGGTGTCACATACTCGGGTCAACTAGAGTCTAGTGTTGGTTTCAGGTTGGGTTAGGGTCACCATTTTTCTGGGTTCAAATGGGTCGGTTAATAATCGAGTTTGAGTCGGTATTTCAGGTCGTGTCAACTTTTGACTGCGGTACAAAAGCTTCAAAGCAATGCAGGTAGGAATTTAATTTATATTTAAGCAATTTTTACGGAAATAGTCCATTTATGGATAAGAAAGAATGAAACCGACTTTTGAGTTTTGATTCTTGCCTGCGAATGCGCTCTCATATCTCCCAAAGCAAATCCTGATCAATCTACTGTATTTCTCAAAGCCAACCATGAAACTAAGGCTAAGATCATTAGAATCCAAAGAAACTCATAAGATTGAAGTTCCCAATACTTTTAATCTTCAACAACTCAAAGAATTCATCTTCCTCCAACTTTTCCCTTCTTCATCCTCTGCTCTGCAACACCAGAATCTGCTCTTATCCCTCAACAGGAAGGAAGAGCTTTGCGGATCTTCTCCAGAAGATTCTATTCAGTCTCTCGGCGTTACTTCAGGTGATCTTATCTATTATTCTACAAATTCTTTTGCATTTTCATCTCAAATCCCTAATTTATCAGGAAATTTCCGGGAAACTAGGGCTAATAATGAATTGGTGAATACCCAGAAAGTAGATTCTGGTAAATTGGATGAATTGAACATTCCTAATGTTGAATTTAGGGTTTTGAATGATGCCCAAATGGAAGGAACCTCGAATTTGAGTAACCCTAATGATACTGGAAATTTAGAAAATACCCAGATGATTGAATCCTCTAAGGTTGATGAACTAATCGGTTCGAGCGCTCGAACTCGAGAAATTGTGGATGCCCAGTTGGAAGGTTCATCAAATTTGAATGATCCTAATGTGGAAAAATCAATTGACTTAGTTGAGGTGGTTGATGAAATGGTGGTTGATGATGAGTCTGAATCAGATGGAAATTATAGGTTTTCTGTCCCAAGTTTTTTGAAGAAAGTATATGTGAAGGAGGTGGGAGATGCTGCTGCTAATGGTGATCATAAGCTATTGGTGATTGCTGTTCATGCTGTTCTATTGGAGTCTGGATTTGTGGCATATGACATGGTTTCGCACAGGAAAGTTGAGGGATTTCATCTGGCTGATGCTTGCCCGTCTTTAGCTTTTGGTATGACTTTGCATTATACCCTCCCTGAGGTTTCAACGTCCGAGGTTGTCGAGACTGTTGCTTTGAAATTCCAAAGTATGGGAAAGTTTGTGAATATATATGGTTCTTTGCCAAAGAAAGGATTTGGGATCCATCGAGTATGCTTGGATGAACCTCGGTTTCTCCCAGCTCTGAGTGATATCTGGGAAGGGGGTGATTATAGTCGTTCTCATGATGAGATGGATAACTCCAGGAAGTTATTTCCATACCAAGAGATTTTCGAGTTCTGGAAGATTGTCAAGGATGGCCTTTCGTATCCTCTTCTAATCGACCTTTGTGAACGAGCGGGTGTAGTTCCTCCACCTTGCTTCATGCGCCTTCCCACGGAGCTTAAACTTAAGATCCTGGAGTGCCTTCCTCCAGTAGATGTTGCCAGAGCGGAGTGTGTGTGTTCAGAATTGCGATTTGTTGCTTCAAACAATGATCTGTGGAAACTGAAGTATGAAGAAGAGTTTGGAAACACTGCATTATCACTAAGGGAATGTCCATGGAAGGCAAAGTTTTCTTCTGTTTGGGAGCTTAGGAAAAGGAGAAAGAAAATTTGTAGACCATTGCAGTTCCGAGAGCCTCCCCATTTTAGGCCTTTATTTCCAGGTCAAAGGGATCCAAATCCCCTCGGCTCTCCTTTCATTATTGGTGGAGATTATGATCGTCTGCCAACTTTTGGTCTACCTCAACTTCCAGGACGCAGGACATTCAGGCGGAATTGTGACCTGGGAGGGTTTGGTCTTTAAGCAGGATTGGAGCTGAATTGATATGGAATTTGAGTCATTTACTGGTGGCTTACTATAAGTTCGTTAGTTTGCATAGGGTACTCCTAGTTTTCATGATGTTTTTATAGTAGTGTGAAAATTTTATGGTTTAAGGTTTAACTTTCCGTTTCCTGTCGTCCTGTCGTGCTCAGATTTGTATTTTTCTGTGAGTAAATAAAATCGGCAGGGTAGGTTTTGTTCTTAAGCTGTTGAATACTTCGTATTATTTACTGTAAACTAGTAGCTAAATTTATCATATTTGAAGTCCAAAATCATAGACACGGAGAGTATCAAGCGCGATCATATCCTTCACAGACTCACACTAGACTCGAAGTGTGTTGTACTGTTTTAAGAGATTATTTATAACAAATTGAAATTCTTACACTTCAACAATAAGAATGCTGTGATAGTATTATACAGGTCGTCTGTCAGGTTTAGAACTTACAGTGGATATGAAGCAGCTATCAGATTCAGGCTGGTTTGTAGGTTCATATCTATCACATGTATTGAAGAATATCTCATCTATCGGTCCAAGAAGATCGATGCCAGGCTTTAGCTCAGCCTCTGGGTTATCAGTCTCCGCTTAAGTTGTAACAATAGCAATGTGTTTCCCATTAGCAGCAACATTATGAGTGTAGGAGCAGCAGAATACCTACATGATAAAATTACCAGTTAATATTAGAATGGTCATATACATATCTACACAAGACAATTAGGCAGTCATAGCACACAACAAACAGCCCATGTCACATTAGTCACTCAAAAACAGAATGCATATCGAAAGTACATGTCTCATCAAATGTCCCTTAGATCAGAATTTTTGCACCTAATCTTGATTAAGAAAATTGACATGAAGGCATCAATATGTTTAAGTTTGAGAGCTTGCCTTATCAGGTTACACTTACACCCAAAAACAGAATGCATATCAAAACAACTTTCTTGCATTTAGCAGTTTCTCCTTCAGAGGATACTCCAATTGCTTTCCTACTCCCATCAAAAACTACTTGTCATCCAAAAGCAAATCATACTTACTATACTGTATATTATCTTTCTTGCAGACTAGATACATAGAAATTTTCCGCAAAATGATGTTACTTAAAGAACAAACATAGTTGCACAATATATGCCGAGCAATCATTACCCTGAAGTACTGATTTATTCAGAAATTTTGAACAAGATAAACTATTCAGTTCTTTTGTTTAAAGACCTTTTTCAACCTGGAATTATTCTTAAATGATTCATGTAATGAATCGTGGTGTTTACAGCCTAATATTCACGCACTTAGCCGGAAAGACCTAAGCATGGAAGGCACTATCCCCTGAAGTACTGCAGGCAGCCTTCAACGTGAGCCCAGAGATAGAGAATCAGTTCAGATCAAAGAGGACTTCAGATGCCATCTTTTTCCCTCCGTCTAACTGAGCAGATCAAATCACCGATATCTTCATTGCTTCGAGTTAGTATGACCTCAGATCTTTCTCCTCTAGCATCATCTTACTGTACTAACAAATGTTTCAATTCTGTCGTCTTAGCCTTTGTTTATGCCATTAGTGTAATGACTTCTTTCTATGAAGAAAATTTTGAAATTTGTAATAGAGGATGGCTTTTGTTGCCATCAGAACAGGCTAGTATGTAAAACACTAGCTTTAAAACTGATGCATGATGCTATGAATGATTCATGAGATAATAAATCTTATTATAATAAATTTGAATATGGAGTATCTCCTTATTAAAGGTGTTCCATTTTCTTCCTAACTATATAAACGGTTAGGAGAATACAATCAGCTTTGATAAGTTTGGGAGAAGGGTTGAATTTTGCTTGATAGTTGCTTCCTGACCTGTATGGCTGTATACATATTCGTGTCCGGGGTGTGTCCTGTAAAAAAAACCTCAACATTTGTTATCTGAATGTCAAGATAATAACCATTGTATATCTTGGAATGTTCAACGAAGTATAATTTATTGTCTTGTTTTTTAAATAAACATTGTATATAAATAGCTATGTCTGCATAATTATTCACTAAGTGCCCCTCCAAGCTTTGGACAGCATAGGTGTGTCAAGTGAGGGAATTATATAAAGTATGAAGTGTCAAATTATCAAGGTAATTAAAAAAAAAAACTTAGTTATCTGAGGCAATTCTCCAAGATCCTCCTTGAAATCGAGCCAAAGACTTTATATAACTTTCGAAACAAAAGTCCAATATGATTAGCAGCCAAGTCACTTTAGTCGCTCAAAGTCAAAAACATTACAATTAAGTATCTGAACACATAGAGTGAGGGATAACTCAAGTGGTTAGAACTTTCCTAACTTGCTTAGTTACTTTATCATGTTATTTCTTTTGTAGTCCAAGCTTGGTCCTTGGCCTAGCACGCATATTGTGTATGCGGAATGCTCATCTCGTAACCCGCTGAGCTTTTATCGTATTGTGTCAAAGGCAAGCCCGGTCCAGTGTCATCTTTAGTCTATGCACCAAGAAAAAGTCTCAAATTTCCTCTAAACAAATCCACCCACTTGCACCAAGAAAAAGTCTCAAATTTCTTCTAAACAAATCCACCCACTTGTTATTCCATACACTTGTAAAGTACACTACGAAGTTATTCTTATGTAATGAAGGAGCTAATCAAGGAACCTAAAGCAAGAGAGTAAGTTCATCAATGGCGGCATCCTCCATTTCTCTCTCCTCCATTTCATTCTTCCGATTACCTTATTATCATCATCATCATCATCTTCTTCAACATCAACATCATCCTTTTCTCTCTTCTCCTCATCAAATCCATCTTCTCCGAACTTTCCCCACTCTTCAAGCTTCTCGCCGAAGTTCTTCTCAGGTTCTTTTCTCTCAATTTCTGATCAATTTTATCTTTGATTAAGGATTAATATATCCTCAATTAACATATGATTTCATGAATTTTGATTAATATATTGCGAATTTGCAGAACGATGATTTGATAAATAATAGCCGAAAATGGAGCCGATTCGATTTTGATGGATACGAGGAAGAAGACGACGATGAAGATGATGAAGAAGACGAAGAAGAAGATCGAAGCTTAGATTTATTGATTAGGTTTGTTGAAAATATCTTCAGAAAAGTCTCTAAACGAGCTCGTAAAGCTGTTCGATCAGTTCTTCCTGTTGCTATCTCCACCAAATTGGTGCGTTTTTCTTGTTGATTTCTCCTTTGAAGCTTAATTCTTACAGTAGCAATAGATTGATCAAAAAATTATAGTTGCTTCAAATATTCCTGAATTTTACACTTGATTTTTGTTGGTACGATTTTCTCAATTGATGAATACTTACATTGGTATGATATTAACAATTGTGATTATTTGTTGGTGTTTTTGGCTTAGATAGAATGATTATATATGTTTTTGCATTGATTAATGATCATAATTTAGGTTATTCAGGGGTTTCTGTTGTTCTAAGTGTTACTGTTGTTGTTTGATAGGTTGGTTTTGCTGTCAATGGACTGATAATTCTATCATTTTTGTGGGTGTTGAAGGCTTTTCTTGAGGTAATGGATCAATTGCACAAATTAGATATGCATTATATGAAGTACGACATATATTGTTTGTCTTATCATTGCTGTTGTAGTCTATGGTGGCTGTTGATATATCTCTAACTTGTGAACCGGGTTGATAGACAGGATAATTGTTCGATGAATTGTTTTATACCATTATGCTGATACCAGAATCTTGTATACAATTCTTAATTGCATGATTAATTATTAGATATGTAATGTGCTAGTTGTAATAAAATGGATTGATTAGTTATGTTTAAACTAGATATTACAAACGAGGGAAGTGTTAGTCTGTTAGATGATCTCTTAACTGCAATACTTGCAATAATTGCGATTAAAAAACAACGAATTGCTTCAGGCATCTATGTGGAATTACATAAAAGCTGTCAACTTGTGTTTTAAATGGGAGGTGATATTGCAGGCTGTTTCATCAGATGAATAATCTGAACAGATGCTCCTGATACCATACTAGTAAAAACTTGGAACTAATTAGAACCCTAACATCCATAATTTGACTAAAATTAGAAAGGTCATTTGGTCTTGTGAAAGGTCCTTCTTGTGGCTAGTGATGTACTGTTGTGCTTTCCCTGAACTTCGGTTTTTTCACATCCAAATTGGACTAGTAATCTAGTATAGGTGCAAGTGTTTACTATTCCCCCTATCTATTCAATTGTGGCTGTTATGGTCAAGTGCATGTGATGAGTCCTATGTTGATCTATTAGAAAAATCGTGAAATTAATTTTACAATTAGAAAAGCTCTTATTGTATACTGTATAGACTCATAAGGCTAAGCTAGAAGCCTGGAACACTTTTAATATGTCAATTATGTAAAAATTACTTGGTACAGTTTACATAAGATCACTTGTTCATTTTATACACCTCTCCTTGTTTGAGTTGTTTCCTCCATAGACCAAACGGAGTTAAATTGAGGCTTTCATTTGGAATTATGTCACATTTTTGTATGCATGTTCTACCCGAGACATGAATCCACCATCTTTGTGCATATTTTGATCCAACTGCGGTGTTGTAAGAATTCTAAGCTTGATAACTAGACTATTCTGTCACCAATGGTGGGCTTAGTAAAGAAAATCGAGATTTGTTTGAATTGAATTTGTTGTGCTTTATACATGATATGCTGTTGAGGCTTGGTCTCATCAGTCTCATGGGTGCATGTATTGCTTTATTTTTGGAAGATGCTGCCTTATTTTTCTGCTTTCATGTTGATTATACAGGTCTTATTGTTACCTCATCTGATTCGTTTGCCTCACTTCAAAATGCAGGTCATTTGTACTCTTGGAAGTGCAGTGTTTGTGAGTATTTTACTTATCCGTGGGGTATGGTCTTGTGTGTTATATTTACAAGAGGGTCGCAGCCGTCATTTAAACGGATTTGATGATGATGATCAACCTTCATGGACTAGAGCCCAGCCTGTAACTTAAGTGCTCTGCAGCCTCCTTTCTAATCATTTTAAAGTCTCAGTCTGGCATTTAAACATGCTTCTGACCTTTGGAAAATAAAGAATCTACGCGATTGGCTATCAAAAATAATAGTCTTTGTCAAGATCCAGGTTTGGCTGTATGCACGAGACCATCTGATCATGCAGCCTGCAGGTGCGTGAATGAACGTCTATCTCAATCAAGTACTACGATACGAATATACTATTATGCAAAAGAGGATGGGCTTGGCCAGTTTTTTATTAGAGTTTGAAGCCCCTGTTTGCATAATTGCATTCTTAACATCTTAAGTCGTTGCTCTGACTTATAAGTTTAATGATCAGTTTTTGCTGTTTGCTAAAATGATCAACCAACAATGTAAATTCCAACTTCTTATGTAAGCCTAGAGTTCGTGGCAAAGATCATAATGCTACTTTGTAAAACTAATGTCTTCCATATTGGGAGTAAAATAGACTATGATGGTGCCAAAGACCGAAACCATAGATTGATAGATGTAACAATAACATATATATACCAAGTACTTCCTATTTTATGACCAGGTTTTATAAAGCAATAATCTTCAAACTTTACGATTTTATCAAGCAATAATCTTCAAAACTTTTCGACTTAAATCTACACTTGAGTTGTTTTATCTTATTTAAATAATTGAGTTTGTTTAAATTATTTTAAATATGTAAAATTCTGGTACATAAAAGAGATTGTCAAAGGAATGTTTAGATTTATAATGCGCATGTTTTTACACCTTAGTTATCTTTGACGGTCTTTCACGTGTTCACTTGTGACCTTGTGTGGTTACACGGTTTTTACAACTTATTTGTATACTTTATTCCTAAGTATTAGCTAAAAATATGGTGAATGAGTGGACACTAGTCCTACTACACATCAATATTATCCTAATTAAGTAATTATACATAATTTATAAAATAAAATAAAATTATGCAGTATTATTCCGCAATTAGATTCGGAGTAGTTCTCCCCCCCTTCAAAAAAAAAAAAAAAAAAAAAGATTCCGAGTAAAACGAAATATTCTCTTGATTCACATCCATGTAACTGATGATTCCTTGGTTGTTGCAATTCATCACCATGGTCAAATGCATGAATTAGATAAATTAACAAAATTTGTCAACAATTCAAATATTTTCACATACGTAGTATATTGTTGTGATTACAGACTTATTTTCTAATAATGCATTTAGAAGCTTAACAAAAAATTAAGTAATTCATGAATTCAAGATGGACTTTTGGACTTTAGGTTACCATATTATTTTCGGTTTGATCATGACCGGATGTTTTTACAGTAGTCGTTTGAAAAATGACTACCATATTATTTTAATGATATACAAATATGATTGGTTTATTTTTTCACGTTATAAAATAGTCACACTTAGTCTTATTATGTCTACAATGCAAATATATTTTTTGAATATTTTAATCCAACATAAAATAAATATTTTTCGAGAAACTATAAAATAAGAATAAAAATTACATAAATAAAACTAAAAATTTGATCAATCAAAAAATTGTTGATAATACTATTTTATACCTAAAATAAAGTAATATAATTAATTACTTGGAAAAAATATGTTAATTATGAACTATATAATCATGAAAACATTATGGTAGCCATAATTCAAATGACTACTATAAAATTTTCATTAGATGACCACATAATTGCAATTTGTCTACCTTTCACTCAACTTTCCTTTATAAATTCACTTATTAGGTATTCCTCTTTATAAATATATATTCATATTTTCATTTTATGGTAAAAGATAAAGTCCAGGTAACCTATGATTTTTTTTCCCAAAAATAAATTTATGGTCTTATATAAAAAGAAAGGAATAACGGGCCAAAAATCCCAAAATTATATATATAGCTGCATTAGATCTACTAATTCCTGATAATTCTCATCTCAATTCTCAAGCACACTCTCAAAAACACACAAAACCTTTGTTGGCCTAGTTTCACTCCTCTCCTTGCAATACCAAACCAATATGAACGTAAGTTCGCCTTTAGAATCCGGTAGGCTTTATGCAACGGATGTCGACGACGACGGCTGTGCCAAAAGAACAGGTTTATCTCTTCTAATCGTCCAACTATTAAATCCAAATTTGTCACATTGTTACAATCTATTTCCCATATCAAATTACAAAATATATGTTCGACTGTTACTAACTTTTTTATTTTTGTGTGTGGTGTAACGAAGGTACATGGCTTACTGCAAGTGCACATATCATAACAGCCGTGATTGGATGCGGCGTGCTATCATTAGCATGGGCCGTGGCCCAAATGGGTTGGATCTCTGGGCCCGTTGTTCTTCTCGTGTTTTCCCTTGTTACGTGGTTTGCATCTGCGTTGCAGGCTGATTGTTACAGAAATCCTACTACCGGCAAGAGACATTACACTTACAGAGAGGCTGTAAGGTCTATTCTAGGTATAAATTTTTATTTTAATAATTTAGTTGTATAATTATTATTCGCCGATTTTTTTTTTTTTTTTTTTTTGATTAAGTATATTTAATGTAGGATGTGTATCTTGTTCTCGCATTTGTAATATGGATCTTTTTGTGTTCGGAATTTTTTTTGTTTTTTTTTTTATTGAAATATAATGGGATTATTATATTAGGGTTTAACTGGATTCTGGTTAATAGCCTTTATCATCCCTTTACAATGTTCATGAAAAAGATAAGTATTTGTTTTTTGTATGGAAAAGATTTAGGTGGTGTTTGTTTAGAATTTTGGCTAGGTATGATATTATCATTTTTGTAAATGATATGTGAATTATCATAAAAATGGTTAACATTATTTTTATTGTTGAATCTTGGGAATATATGAAAATAAACATTTAATTGAAATAATTTCCTCAATAATTCATTGAAATATTTTAATTTTAAAAAATAATTATAATTTTAAGATTGATCTCTAATTGAACTTATGGTGAGGTGGGTAATATATATTGATATAAAATGGTGATTTCCTTTTTAAAATGGAGGGCAAAGGATTAAGTGCCATTAACTAAAAATAATGTAAACATTGTTTCTTTGACAAGGTTGAAAATTATAATTATTCAGTTAAATAATATTTGTTTTCATGAATTCCCAAGATTTGACAAAATTAATAGTGTTTAGATTGAGCTCTTTAATTCTTTACTTGAGTTTGGATGTAGATATTTTGATTCTCTTAAGGAGTAGGAAATATGCCAAAGGGTGAGGGTTAACAAATTAAGCAAAGAGACTACAAGATGTTAACTTAATTATTATGTAATTTAACACCGAATATAATGTGATCATACATATAATACACCCTTGAGGCCTTGATCAGGATCGTTTGATTTAGAATATCGTACACATTAATCTATGTTGAAATACTCGTAAATTAAATTCATACTCCATTTGAGACTTCGAGTTAAGGTATATGTATATTGTATGAATAATGTATGATATTGGGTGATACTAATGCATCTTACTTTGACATGTATGAATAGGTGGAAGAAAATTCAAGTTATGTGGCCTTGCTCAATATTCCAATTTTGTTGGAGTATCAATAGGTTATACAATTACCGCATCTATAAGCATGGCGTAAGGAATTTTATATTGATTAATTTGCTAAATTAAATTTTGATTAAGATGTATTGTATAATATAATGTTTGTTTTAATTACTGTAATTTTCAGGGCTGTGAAACGAGCTATATGTTTCCATAGGATGGGGCATCAAGCAGGATGTCACACACATAATAATCAATTTCTCCTTATATTTGGAATTCTACAACTATTGATGAGCCAACTTCCCAATTTTCACAAGCTTTCATGGCTCTCTATTGTCGCGGCTGCCATGTCGTTTGGTTATTCTTTCATAGGAATTGGTCTTGCCATAGCCAAAGTTGCAGGTAACTGTAACTTGTAATCACAACTTCTCATTATATTGATGTGCTATTTTTATTAAGCGTGACCGTGTGATTCTTCCTTAACACGAATGTATCTCTTAGAATGCAGGATAAATTTACTTGTATTGTTAAATTAATAACAGAAGTTGTTTGTACATATTGTTGTAGGTGGTAGCAATGCAAGAACATCATTAACAGGAGTAGAAATCGGAGTAGATGTTACCGCGGCACAGAAGGTTTGGAATATATGCACAGCATTGGGAAACATGGCCTTTGCTTATGCTTTCTCTATGGTTCTCATCGAAATACAGGTAAGTTATAATCCATGTTTAAAATTCTATTTTTAGTTCATTAGTCCCAAAACAATTACGAGTAGTCGGACTCATCAATGTCAAATTATCTGATCTTGTTTAACTAATGTGTGATTTATGTGACAGGACACACTAAAGCCAAACCCTCCAGAGAATGTAGTTATGAAGAAATCAATATCAGTTGGAATTTTGATCACCACATTTTTTTACATGTTGTGTGGAGTTATGGGTTATGCTGCATTTGGGAATGATGCACCTGGAAATTTCTTAACTGGATTCGGTTTCTTCGAACCTTATTGGCTCGTTGCCCTTGCCAATGTCTTCATTGCCGTCCATCTTGTTGGAGCTTACCAGGTAATTAATTTATTTTTTGCATGAGTTTGTATTCAATAAGGTGAACTTAACAAGTCCTAATATATATATGTTGAACAGGTATTCGTGCAACCCCTATTTGACTTTGTAGAGACACAATGCTCCACAAAATGGCCTGAAAGTAAGTTCGTGAATGCGGAATACCCCGTGAAGCTACCTCTATATGGTCCATACACATTTAACTTGCTAAGGTTTTTCTGGAGAACAACATATGTCATACTAGTGACAATAGTAGCAATGATCTTCCCCTTCTTCAATGATATTGTTGGCTTAATCGGGGCGCTTTCGTTTTGGCCTCTCACAATATATTTCCCTATAGAAATGTACATTGCACAAGGCAATGTTCGCAAGTATTCTTGGTGGTGGATTTCGTTACAAGTCTTGAAATATTGTTGCTTGATTGTTTCCCTGGTGGCTGTGGTTTCTTCGATTCGAGGTCTTGTTGTTGGTGTTCAAAATTTGAAGCCATTTCAATCTGTTTCTTGATCGATGTACATCTATTTGGTTACAAGTTAGATTATTATGTATGCCAACAACGTTGGGGGTTAATTTACTCCTTAATTTTTATTGTGCCACACAATATTCATTAATGGAATACTAGCTTAACATTTCATCTTGAAATTGTGCATTCAACTTTTTTACATTATTTGATGTTTGTCTCCTTTAATTATCTTTACATTATTAATTTATTATAGTAACCTAGCTTTAATTATCTTTAGCTAGAGGCTATTATATTCATTACATTAAACAAAAAAACTTTAGAAGATCAAAAAGTTTGAGACATCAGTAGTGAAAATGGGCCATAATACCAAGTAGAATGGCCTACGAGATGCTTAGTGTTCCAAACTAGCTAATAATAATATATTAATATTGATTTTATTAAATTGTAAACAAACTGTAAGAACTTCACAAACTATATACCCAAATGATAACATCAGGATATACTTTTAGTTAATTGTAATTATCATGTAACAAAATGATGTAATTTGCCTTATGCAATGCTAACAAAACGGTAGATGATAAGATTCATAACTAACCCCTTAACTATTCTTGATGGAAAGATATAGGTGTTCCGTGTTTAACTAAACTACTCTGTATTTCAATTTAACTTGCTCCGTTAATTATTCTTGATTTCACCCTTAAATTTACCCCTAAATAGATTTGATTTATTATTTTTCTATACTAAGGTAAAGAGAACATCACAACATGAAAAACTTAGCTTTTAATTACTATAACAACGAGTCAACGACTCATACTTTCTTCGGTGAAATTAGGACCCAACATAATTACTGAGCGATATTTAATAATTTTGTGGTAGCTATATATATAAATTGATTTGACTATCTAGTTTGATTAGCATGATGTATATGGCTAGTTGTATAAAAAATGTTTGGCAAATATTATTTAGTGGTTAATTCATAGTTGTTTAAGTATATTATGTAAAAACAAAAAAAAAAAAAACAAAAAAAACAAAAAGAAATTGTTCAGTAGCTAATTTAGTATAAAAGAAATTTTTGAACCCATATAAGGTTTTAATAAGTTACGGAGTACGATCAAACACCTAAATTAATTTTTTCATAATAGTCAAACCTATGATAGGCTACCTTTTTTTTTTTGTTGTCGTTCTACCCGATTTTCCTTTTGAGCTAATCTGGATTCGGGGATCAGTTCTAGATGGTCATGTTCCAGTCCCCTCCCGATCGTTGTTGCGCGGGATCAAACAAACTATGATAGGCTACTTTAATGTAAAATCAATATTGATTCTAATAAAACACCCAATTAAAAAAAAAAAAAACCGATAGTATTAAAACTCCAAACAAACATTAAGAAACCCATTAATAATCCAGTCCACAAAAACAAGCCCAAAAAAAAAGCTAGGGCAAAAACCACAAACCCTAACCCATCACCCCCCACATAAAACCCTAACTCCCCCTTCTTTCCCCCATTTCATTCCCACAGCATTCATCCTCCCTCACATTTTCTCTCTCTCCCCTTTCCGCCGCCATGGGAAGAGTCATTCGAGCTCAACGTAAGGGAGCAGGCTCCGTCTTCAAGGCCCACACCCACCACCGCAAGGGTCCCGCCAAGTTCCGAACCCTCGACTTCGGCGAGCGCAATGGCTACCTCAAGGGTGTTATCACCGAGGTCATCCACGACCCTGGTCGTGGTGCACCCCTTGCTCGCGTCACTTTCCGACACCCTTTCAGGTACAAGCACCAGAAAGAGCTCTTCGTTGCTGCTGAGGGTATGTACACCGGTCAATTCATCTATTGTGGGAAGAAGGCTAATCTTATGGTTGGCAATGTTCTTCCTTTGAGATCTATTCCTGAAGGAGCTGTTGTTTGTAATGTTGAACATCATGTTGGTGATCGTGGTGTTCTTGCTCGTGCTTCTGGGGATTATGCTATTGTTATCTCTCACAACCCTGATAATGATACTTCTAGGTATATTTCTCTTTCTTCTCTCAGATTTTTTATTTCATTTTGTTTTCTGGGTTTTTGATTTTTGTTCTATGTTTTTCTGTGTTGGAATTGAAAGGTGGGATCTTGTTGTATGATTTGTTTGTGTTTTGGTTTATTGTTTTTTATTTTAGATTATATTTATGGTGATTTTTGATTGGGGTTTTTGTTTTAGGATTGAAAAATTGGATCTTTTTGTAAGTTTTGGTTTATTATTATGGAGTTTAATTGATATTTATGTTAATGACAGTGTTTTGTTGGGTTTTGATTATGTTGATACTTGTTTTACGATTGATTAATGTGGCTGTTTTTGAAATGACTAATTGGGTTGAGCTTAGAAGTATGTATTGATGATTTGCAGACGATTGTTCAATAAGTTAGTTCAATGAAATGTTGATGTTGCGAAGGTTTTAGGTTATAGGTTGATATAAGTATAAAACTCTTGTTGGAGTTACTAATCTCTTTAAATTCCAGCCTTCAAATCATGTTCCCAAGGCAGAGTATTTCATAATTATGCCATTTGATTTTGTTTGTATTTTGTATCATTGTGTAGCATGATATGTTGTGATGTGGATTAAGGAAATGCAAGTAAGCTTTTAGCATGATCTGTGGTAATTGAGGTATTGAATTTTGTTTTAGTGATCTTTGAGTGTGGTTGTAAACTTGTAATAGCGTCAACTGGAGCTGCCAATGATCTTATCAACTCTATTTATAAATTCTGATCGGACCTATTTAACGAAATCTATTCTCTGTTGTAGGATCAAGCTCCCATCTGGTTCCAAGAAGATTGTCCCAAGTGGTTGCCGTGCTATGATTGGTCAGGTTGCTGGTGGAGGTCGTACTGAGAAGCCTCTTCTCAAGGCCGGAAATGCATACCACAAGTACAGAGTGAAGAGGAACTGCTGGCCTAAGGTTCGTGGTGTTGCTATGAATCCAGTTGAGCATCCCCACGGAGGAGGTAACCACCAGCATATTGGTCATGCCAGTACTGTTCGTAGAGATGCACCACCAGGGCAGAAGGTTGGTCTTATTGCCGCCAGGAGGACTGGTCGTCTTCGTGGTCAAGCTGCCGCAAATCTTTCCAAGAGTGACAAGGCTTAATTTACTTAGGCATTTTATTGTCGTTTTTGATGTCGTTTTGTTTATTTAAAGTTTTAAGTACCTATTTTAAAGATTGCAGTGCTAAGAATATACTGAGTTTTGTTTGCAATATTAGGAATGGTTTTTGTCATGGTGACATTGAATCAATTTCACTGAGCTAGTTCTTTTTTAGCTTTAATCTGTTGAATCCGCCTTAGCTTAGTTGATTATTTGTATGAATTGCCTTGATGATAGCCTAAGTTATACATCTTGAAGCTACCATGCGAATGATTATAAGGAGTAATGCTGGCTCATATCGTGTAGTTATAAAATTTATTAATTATTAAAGGCTATGCTTTTAGGTAAGCTGAATGATCTAGTTTAGAGACACTGTCAGTCAAGATTAAGCCACCGGCTTTTGTATAATGTTTCACAAGTCCTTTTATTAAGATTAAAGTGGCTACGACGATGGTTAACAGAGTAGCTCAAACCTGGATGCCTAGTCTGAATTATCTCTGATCTTAAAAAACCTCCATATTTAACTTGTAATGAATGCCTAATTGAATTCCTGTTAGAAGGGCTTCTTCTGTATTACGGTATGCGCAATGTGCGCTTGGACATCATGACCACCAAGGCAAGAACTTGAATGAGATCACTTCTGTAGAGTATGCCGGGAACTTGTGATGGCAGATTCCAGATTCAACTAAGGCAGGGGTACTTTCAACCAGAAAGATTATTGCGTCAAGTGTGTTGATTAAATATTTAAATTGAATTGTCGCTATCTTGTTATTATAAATTTTTATTTTGAATTACATTATATTTTATTAGTTACTTTACGAGTGACTTGAATGTTTAAAGTGTAACTCTCGACTTGTTTGATTTTATCACTTGGAGAGATTAATCAATTTTGAGCATTCCATTTACCAATATAATTCTTCTTATATTTTGGCATAATACATTCATACATACATACATACACTAATATGTATAAACAGTTACATACAAGGCAGGAAAAGGATGGACATGAGTTACAATTCTTTTGCTTGCAAAATGAGCTTGAAGATGAGGAACCCTACTAATAACCTGCCATCAAGTTTTGGTATTTGCAGATGAATGCCACCATTTTGATCAACAATGAAAACCTATTGAATGATTCTATCTTCTTGCAGAAGTTCGTATGGATCAATATATTGAGGGAGAGAAGCTGTAGTATCAGTCCCATCATGAACGAAAGTTGGCCCAAAGTACTGCATCGAGAATTAGACAGTATAAGGGAGTATAAAATGAACAATCATATTCTATTGCATTCCAGCAAGTCATTAATCAAGGGACAAAATATATATTGACGAGCATCTACAATTCACTCTTTTTATAGTGATCATAGTGCACAAACATCTGATATTTATCTTAGTCTGCCATCATCACTTTACGCAAAGTAGCCAGATTGTTTATAAGACTTCAATATCTGTAACCTGCCCCCCAGTTCATCTTATAGACCTGATCATCATAAGCAGGACATAGATATCCTCGTATTACACTATTACATGTTCAGGTTGTATACCCTCCCCCCACTTTCTTTACAAAAGTACACTATCAATTGTTCAGACTTCAGACTGTCATTAAAGAACAACATTCACCCACTAATTCCATGTTGGAACCATTGCCAACATAAGAAAGCAAACCACTAGAAAGCATGTGTCAAACAATCTATTGCCGTTTTTCAGAATTGTTAAATCACATTCATCCCTTGTTCTACTAATATTCCATTGATTCTGCTCAGTAACTGTAGTTACTCATTCTCAAAAGATAGGCGTACAATTTTATTGCTAGAAAGGCTTACCAGATAGAGAGCAGCAAAAGAACCAACTGTCAAAATTATTAGAGGCCAAAATGCCAAGAAGAATGTTCCACCAAGTGTCAATAAAAGTTTAGCACGGGGAATTAAGCCCTGGATTAAACAAACGTAGGGAAAAATTTAGCAATTAGATAGACAAGTAAAGCAAGTACTGGAATGAAATTGGTGCACCTTAGTAAGAGATATAATCATGAATGAATCAATTCAACTAATAAAAAATGTGTGGACAGAGTTAAGAAGGGTGAGTAATTAGAAGAAACCAAGCAATGAATGGCAAATACAGAAATTCACACTACACTAACGTTTAACCATAGTAATTTGCCACTCCGAGGTTACCTGGCTTGTTCCAAAATCACTTTCAGACAAAATAATGGCAAGGTCATGCACTCATGTGCCTGATTTTGGGCATCAAATTGATGATACACAAAGAGGGGGCAAATACCATAACTAAGTCGCTGCAATTGATACAAACAAATCTATTTCACACACGCACACACACAATGCAGAGACAAAAAAGGGAAACCATGAGGACAGAAAAGCAGCTTACAGAACAAAAGAGAGAGGCAGGGAACAATTGAACAAAAAAGACAATAGGTCTTTTGTAAAGCTTGGATTTTTCAATAAGCAAAGCATCAAAAATAAATTATGGTTAACCTCAAGGCCTTCACTGTTCAGTGCCATTGATTGCTCTCTTTGATTAGTCAAGCTTTTGTCTGAATCAGTCGCAACTGCATTTCTCTTTGAATACAACCTGTCAGATCCATCTTCTGTTATCTCTTCCTCAATTTTGCTCCTATTGCTCTCCTCAAGCAGTGATGTGGGTGTAATGCCTCGTCTTCGTAGCTCCTTCATAAACAAAGATTCAGGAGGTTCGTTGTCTACAAGGAAATCATATACAGGGTTAAAAGAAAGCCTAATCATTTACAACTGTAATTCTACCTGAGTGAAATCTGAAATCACTGTAAAGCATATAAAGTGCTCAAAGCTTCATGCACCCCAAATCAAAGTAAACAACCAAACCTTGTGCTCCTTGTAGATACATACCAAGTACTTTATATCTTTTATAGCATTTGCATATCATTAAAAAAGAAGTCACAATCCCCTTAAGCAACATTCCCAGATCAAAATATCGTAACCACTAATGATGATGTTTTAAGCACAGGCAAAGCTTCAGCACGACCATGATCATTGAAAATATGCAGTTAACATATTTGAGGCATGATCTTACTGTCAGTCTGTCACTAGACAGTAAATACAACTAAATATCAATCGATTAACATATTGGTTGGTGTTCTAAGACATTTTATCAATTCACATCAACTTATTCAGCTTTTTTAATGAGATGGTGCCTCTCATTCCCTTTTATTCAGACTCAAATGAACTATTCCTCATGATTCAAAGCCATTAAATAGCAATTTCATGCACACATAATTCAATTAACATCATAAAACAGTAAGTTTACACAAACACACACTCTTTTTATCTTGAAATAATCAAACAATTCTCGTAAGTACTTGAGTAAACCCATTTAACTTAAACCATAAAAAAACTTCAAAATCACTCAACCCAAATTCACAACCATCACAAGTTCAAATCTTTGCTTACATGATCCTGAAAACAAGCTGGCATTGATTCCCGACACTAATCATAGTATCTTACAGACAAATGTATCCCTTATTCCAATTATTATAAATCTATAATTATTAAATTCCAAATGACTGTCATTGTTCCAAATTCCAATTATCATATTCATATACATGACATAATGCTCCATTGCTCCACAAATAGGAAGTATCCACTCTTGCCCTATTTATTACCCTTTTCTTACCTAAATCCACTATCACATATAACAACTCAAAGAATTATCATAAACAGTTACTAACAAACAAATAAGCCAAACCCCTAATCCATCATAAAGTTTCAATCTTTTTGCCAAGAAACTGACTTAATTCAGGGTATATGAATTATATAACTAATTTAAGTACCCCCTAAGTCCCCTCGCCCCTGAATTAATAGTCACCTTGATAGCATTAGTTTAATTTGAACTAGTAATGTGACAACTAAATTTATAACTATTAGAACAATTCCCAAATCAATCTTATCAATTAATAATTAATAAAATAGTTAAGAAATCAAGAAAGGAAAGTAAGAGCTTACTGCTACTGTTGCTAGGACGATCATCACCATCTTGTAATTTAGAAAAAACCCTGTTCACCAAATTCCTAGCAGCAAATCCCCTTCTTTTCAACCGGATAATTCCTTTCCTCTGAACTTCGGAATCCAATTCAAACCTTGATGAACTCGGGAAAGAAGAAATAGTAGGTTTCATCATTTGCATAGAAGCCATTGCCACCATTTTCTTCTTTCTTTCTAAAAATGAAAAATTCTCTCTTTTTCTAGATTTCTCTAACTTTATGAACCAAACAAGCAAACAAACAAAGAAAAGACAATCAAAGGGAATGGGAAACCAATTCCATTACGTAAAACAAAGGAAAGAAGAAATAAAGAGTTAAAGGGAATGATTCCCTCCCCTAAGAGGTGGCTGACGGCGTGTTATAGAGCGGAGTAAGGCGGAGTTTGTGGCGGCGCTAATTATGTTACGAGTGGAATATTGTGCTACGTAGTTAGCTTGTTTATGACCACGAGTTTTGGGTAATTGTTACCAAAAGAAATAAAAAATATGTGATGTGTGTTAATATTGTCTCGTAATGAGTTTGGACCATATATACTAAATTACTAGTACTTGTATATTTTTGGGAAATTTTGTTTGGGTGAATTGGTATGATATTAGCCGTGTAGGTGGCGGTTGACGAGGGTGGTAGACAAAGATGACAAATTGACAAGTGATATAAAACCAACTATACAAGGGAAGACATAGAGGCTATGCGTGCACGATTTCTTCTTAATATTTAGAAAGTATTGATATGATATTGTTCGAGATGGGTATTGAATATGAATTAGAATTAATTGACATGTAAAATGAGATATAGTCATATAGGAATATGTTTGATAAATGATAATTGTATGCATTAACAGATCAGGATTCTATATTAATTCATAAAACATTGATGAAAAAAAATCCCTAAAAATTAATTATTGTAGACTCGGTACTAACTAATACATAAATATCCGGAAAAAAAAGAAAGAACAACTAACATATTAATAGCGTGAACTAATAAATTGAGATATAATAAGAACCTTATTGTTGTTCCCTTATTGTGTTTATTGTTTACCCATCTCGCATCGGCATGTACTACTTAAAGGATAACATCTATTTACCATTATTTAGGGTGTGATTTCCTTAACTTATTAGGATTGTTTAGAGCAAAATAAATTCATTATAAGATAGATACTTATTTGTATCTATAATTGGCTCAAAACAAAATAATTCAACACGTTTACTAATTTGAATAAAAGTATGTTAAAAAACTTTTTTTTTTAAAAAAGAGTAGCGATTAATGAAGATATATTTTAATATTTTTTTAAAAAAAAAACCCTTAAATGCTAAATTAATCATATTGTTGTTTGTTTCCATGACACCTCGAAATAGAAATAACCTACAACTAGAAATGCACTAACGTACCTACTATTCCACTTGTGAATAGATGAATTTGTATGTACATTTGGTTCAATAGCTAAAGATAACGAGAATGAAGCAAATAAAAGACACTATATCAAAGTAGATTAGGAAGAAATGGAAAAATAACGGGTTTACTTTTAGTGAACTGTTAAACATCGCCCGCAAATTCCTACATAAAGCCCACAAAATAAGAGTGAAATGACACTTTTGCCCTCATACTAAAAAACACACAATTTCTCTCTCTACTCTCTACTTCCACTTTCTCTCTCTAAATTATTTCTAGAGCTATGTCGAGGCGGCCCGGCAAGGAAGTGGCGGCAGCGGCGGTGGGCGGAAGGCGGTTTGCCGGCCAGAAGGTAAATTTTTTAATTTTTGTAATTTTTTTTTAAAAAAAAAACCTCCGGCGACGGTGGGGCGCCAAGGCGAGACGCCACCACCACGGCGGAGGCGCCTAGGCAAGGCGCCCGTACGGTGGTGGCGGCGCCTAGCCCAGACGCCACTACCACGGCGGCGGCGCAGAGGCTAGGCGCCACGGCCGTGGTAGTGGCGTCTGGGCTAGGCGCCGACACCACCGTACAGGCGCCTTGCCTAGGCGCCTCGTTCTTTTTTTTTAAAAAAAAATTTTTTTTGTTTTTTTTTAATTTTAAATTTTATTTTCGATTTTTTTTTTTTTTTTTTTTTAAAAAATTTGTTTTTCTTTTTTTTAAATTGTATGTTCCCTTTTTTTTTTATCTTTTTTTTTTTAAATTTTGTTTTTTTATTTGTTTTAATTTTATATTTTTTATGTTTATAATTTTATTTCCGTGACTTGTTTATTTGCTTTTGTGTTTATTTTCGACTTTTTTTAATTTGTTTTCGTTATTATGTTTCGTTATTTACTTGGAGTTAGGCATCGCAATTTAGACCTGGTGCGGGGAAGAGTATTGACGTCGTGAGGAGTACGATCTACTCAATGGAGAGCTCGGGGCCCAGACACGTTAGATCCCGTGGTATTTCGGCCTCGGCCCGCAGAGAACGGGTGCACTGTTCTGCGGACGATCAAGATGATGATGATGATGATGAGGAGGAGGAGGAGGAGGTCGAGGAGGAGGAGGTCGAGGACGAGGATGATGCAGATGAGGATGTCGACGATCAGAGTGGACCATATGATGATTACGGTCCATTCAGTCAGAGACTTGATGATACGTATGAGACGCATAGGGTAGATGTGCGTAAGGGTCGAGATGGTAGGTTTGTTAGTAGATCTGGCACATCATCTGCGTCCACTGTGTCTGCGGGTAGCAGAAAACGGTCGAGGGCCGTTAATGATTCTTGGATGGTGAGGGGTGAGGTGGCCGGGGGACCTATAGACGGGAGTGTGATTCCTAGCTTTTTAGGACACATCGCTACCCGTATTTGGGAGGACCAGGAGAGGGCTTTGGATACAGGCATTTTGAAATGCCAAACCCGGGAAAAGACTTGTAGGTTTTTGTGTAGCTGGGCTGATGCTTGGCCGGAGGAGAGCGAGATGGTCGGGCGATTGAGGGCCACTAGAGTGAGTCACCTTCCTGCCACCATGCACGATAGGATTGACTGGACGCTGATCACGGCTTTCGTTGAGCGATGGCAGCCGGATACGAACTCGTTCCACCTTCCGTTCGGTGAGATGACGATCATGTTGCATGACGTCGAGGCCATCCTTGGGATTCCCGTGGAGGGAAACCGAGCATCTGTCGTCACTGATGCGGATCAGGCAGATTTACTAGCGGAGCTGTTGGCGGTGGATAGGGCTGCGCTGTACACATCGGCACTTGGTGTGTGGGATCACGGCGGCGTTAAGATCGCAGCCGTCTTGCAGCGATGTTTGCACCCTACGGCACGTAGGACGCAGGACACACAGCTGGCTGCATATGTTTTTCTTCTTCTCGGGTGTACCTTGTTTCCGGATAAGAGCGGGAACAAGCTCAGGCCACGCGACATAGTTGACGCGTGTGAGCCCGACAGAGTAGGCCAGTTTTCTTGGGGGTCGGCTACGCTGGCGTATCTGTATCGCCAGTTAGGATTCTCGAGCCGGGCTGATGCAGCAGGTATCACTGGATGTCTGACGTTGTTACAGACCTGGATATACGAGTATTTTCCTGCGTTTCGACCAGTAAGGCGGTACGATCTGCGTCGTCGAAGGAGTACGTCGTCCAATGGCCGTCAAACATGATATCCATGTGGGAGCAGTTTCCGATGGTTGCCCGCCTATGGACGGCGGAGCTGCAGCGGCCGCCAAGTGGGGTGACTGCCATGTGTGACCAGCACTACATGGAATGGTACATCCGGCACTCGCACCCGAGGTTGATCAAAGACATCGACGACGCAGATGATGACGATGTGCCACCTGCCACTGCCTCTTATGCGGTACGTCTCATCTTTTATTTGTTGTTCTCTTATTTTAATATATATATGTATAATACGTCGTTTCATGTTTTTTGTTTTGTGTAGTGGATGGGCAAGATTATGCAGTTGGGACACCGACTTTTTGAGGAAAGGGACTGCATGACGAGTGCATCAGGCAGAGCTGTTATTGACGATTTGGAACGGACCCTTGAGCAGTGGCAGTGGGCGTCACAGAGGGATTACTGATATTTGAAATTAGACATTATCTTTTTAGTTTGTAATATTTGAAATTATTGTTCTTAGTTTTTAAAATTCAATATTATCATTTTAGTTTGTAATATTTGAAATTATTGTTGTTAGTTTTTAAAATGAAACATTATCTTTTAAAAATGAACACATAGAAATGACATAGTATTGACAATACAAGGCCTCATAGTAAAAGGTAGGTGTACATCAACAAAAACTACATGGCAATTAAATTGTTCCACTGTTGCACGCGAGCATGGTACAAAGCATCCCAACCCTCCACGCTTGCTCTACGAATTTCATACCACTTCGGTATGATATTTGGGACCGGAAAATCGGGTGACATGTCTAATCGGATAAAATGTCTGTATGACGGCCCAAGAAATCCAATAGCAACGTCCCTTACCGGTCTGGTGACGGTCTCGCGCGAACACCAGGGCAGAACCGTTGTACATGGATAATAGGCTCGACTATGTAAACCAAGGCCGAAATGCATGACTGCACACTTGTAGATGTTTGCAACGGCAAAGAGATCAAGTGGCGCATCGAACCAATGATTTTGACCGCAAGGTCCCCCTCCCCACCGGATACGCTGCAGAGACCTATCCAAGTCCTCGCCGTACACATGGCCATACACATCTCGGTTTGATGCGATTTCACTGTACATCAACTGCCGCACTAAACCGTAGTTGTCTTCACCCATTTGAAACACATCCGCCACAACCCGAAATCCGCAGTTACCATCTGCAATGACATCATTCCACCCGTCCAAGAATGGCATCATGATATTAGGGATCCTGTCCTTATATGGAAAATGTTCAATGTCCATTCTCCCTGTTACACACATCAATAAACACAATAAACAAGTCAACAGTAAACTAATCAAACAGTCAACAAAAGAAATTGAAGTCGAATGTCTTACCGGTGCCGGGCATATTCACCGACGACGATGATTGGCTGCCACTTGATGAGGATGTACGACCACGGCCACGGCCACGGCCACGACCGCGAATGTACTCAAACGCACTCTTGTTCCGCCGTGGTTGTCGACCCCTAGGTCGCTCGACCCCTTCCGGTTCCTCGGTATCCAAACACGATGTATTGAACATGTCATGAAGTATGTGTGTAGCACTACGAATGATCGAAGGGTGACTGGAGGACACTTGGTCAAACATCATCTGAAACTGCTCCAACTCCTCCTGTTCACGGTGAACCGTATGCGGAACAGCATGCTCTCCGATAACGAGCGTCCGCCAGAATGGATGAACCTGATCGACATGTAACGACGCCCTGTCTTGCGTAATTACGCGGTGAATGGTGCATGCACAAGGTAATCCATGAGTCATTGATATAGCACATCCGCACCGAATAGCCACTTCATCGCCCAACTCCCTCATCCTGGTATACTCGCTCAGAATCAACCCCAAACAGTGGTGTGACACACGACCGTGGAGAATCTTAAATATGAAATGGCCATACAACATGCCATGTCGTCGTCTGGAGTCCTCGAGATAGTTCTTGATGCCGTTCCTCTGAGTATCAATAGCCTTGTTTATTCTCTCGAACAGTGTATCCAGAGCAGCCGTGGAAGAATCAATCCAGTCCTTCAAAGCTCTATGAGCGCTCTCGACTCTGCATGTCGTAGTGTTCCCAAAATGAAGAACTTGGTTCGTCCAATATTTGACAAACTTTTCCCTCTGAGGTACCCACTGATGCATCACATAGTCTACGATTGGCGGGCACCACTTGTACGCATCCTTTAAGTTTTCCAAGGCTCGATCGTACTCTGCCTCCGTGGTAGCTTGCAGGATCTTCCGCCCCTTACCATTTACCAATCTCTCTGCTGAATCTAAGTTCTTGTTGAAAAGGTTGTAGGCTTTGACTTTCACGCAGTTGTTGATGTGCCATGTGCACAGTAAATGGCTCGACTCCGGAAACAGCTCCGCTATAGGGGCAAAAAGACCTCCCTCACAATCACTTACGATGGCCGATGGCTGTACATTTGGGCCGATGTAGTTTCTCAACTTTTCCAACACCCAACGGTAACTCGCAGCCGTCTCATCCTTCATGACTGCATAACCAATCAGAAAGTTCTGGTTCGTTGGAGCCATCCCAACCATCTCAACCAGTGGGAACTTGTACTTGTTTGTCTTGTACGTTGAATCGATCAAAATCACAGATGGCCAAGACGAAATCATATCAGCACAATCAGGATGGACAAGGAACAAATAAGTTACCTCCGATGTGTCTTCGTCAGATTCAAACCAGTAAAGGTAACCACGTGCTTGTGCCTGGTGCAGAAGCTGCTGTATAGGGTTCCTTCCCTCTGACCGTTCAAACCTCAATTTCTGTCTGACGTTGTAGATGTGTCTTCGGTTTGGCTGGTCTTCGGGGAATTTCTCTAACACAGACGCTAATATTTTAGCGGGCTTCACTTGAGCATCACTCATTTCTTTTACAACTAGTTTCGCAGCTGGACTTAGGCCGCTTAACTGCCGATGCCCCACTTTGTATGCTATCAGCTCATGGTTGTGATATCCCCATTTGCCGTAACCCTTCACTTCCCAACCGTCACGCCTTTGATGTTGTCGAACCTTAACTCGGAATTGACACCCACAACCTTTCCGCTTTGAGTCAAACCGAATCGCTTTACTGAAATCTCGTTCTTCTCTTTTGCGATAACGGTCGCATCTCAAAATGCGATCCATTCTACCATCCCGTTGAGATTTATGAGTTGCTACTACTAAACAAAAGCCTGATCTAATTGCAACCTGTTTTGCCCAATCAATCGCTTGTTGAGCATCTTCGAACAGGCCATCATGTACAAAAATCCCACTGTAATCATTTCCGTCTCCACCATAATCCTGTAACAATAACATATAACGTATAAATATAATTACATTAAGATTAAATTAACAAAAAAAAAAAAAAAAAAAAGGGGATTAAATTAAAAAATAAAATAAAAAAAAAAAAAAAAAAAAAATATTCCCCTACTACTCTACTAGCGCCTGGCCAGGACGCCGGAGCCACGGCCGGGGCGCCTGGTCAGGACGCCGCCGCCATGGTGGCGGCGTGGTGGCCAGGCGCCTTGGCCGTGGCTGCGGCGTCCTGGCCACGCGCCACTACTATGGTCGAGGCTTCTCCACCAGGCGCCGTGACCACGGTGGCGGCGTCCTGGCTAGGCGCCACAACCACGGCATGGCCTTTTGGCTAGGCGCCAGCCACCATTTCGTCCTTACGATGCGTTACGAACCTCGTTTTCCGATGACGACGGCGATTCTCCGGTGATCCTCGGCGATCCGGTGCTGCTCCACATTTTTTTAGTGCGAAAAATTTATCTTCCGTTAAAATTATAAAAAGGGCAAATTTGTCAAAAAATTATAAAATGTGGGCTTTATGTAGAGATTTGCGGGCGATAAATAACAAGTCCCTACTTTTAAAATCGACCGACGTCTTATATGTCTGATGTGTACTACCATTTCATTATATCCTTGGGTTAGTACAAAAATACAAATGTCTCTATTGACATTAGCCTCGTGCAAATTGCATCATACTTTTCACAAGTGGCAAGAGATAATTTTCACAAGAGATCAAATACTTCACCAAATTAAAACAAAGGGGAAAAAAAAAATCTAGTACAAGTAGATAAGAACAATGAAGGACAACCAAGTAAAAAAAAATAAATAAAAAATCCACTAATAATATAGACCAATGGAACATTCCAAAGCTCTTTGCTGAATTTGATACTTAAATTCTCTTCATTTCCCCAATTTTCTCCTTCTCTCTCCTCCTTCATCTTCTTCATCCTCACAAATTCTGCAAATTTCAGAATATTCGCCTCTTTTTCTTCGTAATTCTTCGCTTTTTTATGCATTTTCCACACGCTATTAACAGGAAAATTATCCTAGAGAGAGAAAAAGTGAAGGATTTTTAGAGAGAGAAAGTAATCATCGTTGACTGATACTTTGCAGAAATTTCGATCACTGTTGAGAAATTGAGTTTTCGCCATTTTTGATTGTGTAATACCTCGAATTTCAGCTTGAATTTGGTGTTTGTTTGACGGAATTTGGATTTGTTTTTGGCTTTTGATTGTTCGCCGGGTATGAGGTTAGACGGAGAGATCAAAGAATTTGAGTATGAAGAGGAGAGAGAAAGTGGTGAAGAAATGAATTCGGTTTCAAATTCGATTAATTTAGGGTTTTCTCAGCAAGTTGTTGTTGGTTATGCGTTAACGACGAAGAAGAAGCAGAGTTTCTTGCAACCTAAGTTTGAACTCATTGCTAGGTATATAACTACGCATTTCTTTTTGTTTCATTCGATCAAATTTCAGATTATTGAATTTTTATTTTGTCAGTTTGTTTAACCGCCATTGTTGTCTGCTTGCAATCATGAGGATCAGATATTATTTTGGAAGCTTGTGTAAGATAAATATTGCATAGTAATGAAATTGCTTTTAATAAGTATTATGTTGAATATTCCATGGCATATATGCTCCCGCCCTAATAAGACTAAGTCGGAGTCAATGATTTTGAGAATTTTTGAGTTTATGGTACCTAAATTACCTAACTTGTCTAATAATACTGTTGATATAGTAAGAATACGAAGTATTCTTATCCATTCTTTTACTGTACCAATGGACTAGTTTGTTACTGTACACAAAACACTATTGGAAGTATTTGATGATAAGTAGTGTTTTACAGTTGATTGCATTGCCTCATGGATTTATATAGTGAAGTTTTCGGCATTTCGTGTTCAAAAGATACAATCAATGATTTAACAGCTGTTTAATTTTCTTTCTATATTTGTCTAATTTTGTGTCTTATCCAAGCTCTTTGTAATGAGTATGTGATGTCAATTGTTGTTTGGTGAAAAAGAAGCCAATATGCAAAAATTTGGTATCATTTGTATTTTCTAGAATCAATTTAAATGTAGCTTGTTTTGATGCAGAGACAAGGGGATTATATTTGTTCCCATTGACCAACACCGGCCATTGGCAGAGCAAGGTCCATTTGACATTGTTTTGCACAAGGTCAGTCTATATATTTTGATACTTGACTTTGCATTCTTATATTTGTGATTATTATTTTTTAAAATTACTAGTGTCCTTTTGTATTCCAAGTTTCCAACACAGTGCACTTTTCAATACTTAGGCTTTTGTTTGAAGGATATCTTTCTTTATCCACAGTGTTCTTCAATTCATTGGCTTTGTTGAGTTTTATTCGTAGACATTTCATATAACAAAGAGGTCAAAATCTAAGCTTTGGCAAATGTTATTACTTGTTTAGTTTGAAAAAATATACAATTTTGTTTTCTAGCGGGCTGAAGGGGTGAGTTGTAGGCTTTTAGTATAGTATTTCCGGGGTATTTCCGGTAGCAATGTTTCCCAAAAATTGTCTTTTTTATCATCAAACATGATCAATATTATCTTTTGTAAATTCATTCATGCTTAATACGAGCTAATTCTTCTATTTGCTTTTGCTTTAGCTTTAGCTGCATATCACTCTCTCTGATTAATCTTTTGTTTCTTACAGCTACTGAGCAATGAATGGAGCCAACTTCTTGAAGTAAGTCATTCTTTAAGATAACATATCTAGCAATGCTGATAATCATCTCACGTGTCACTTCTTATGATGTTGTGCTTCCTGATATATCTGATTATTCTGGGTGGTTTTCAGCTTGTTATATAACAATTATGTTCTTTTGGATAGTTTGGATCTCATATGACATTGATTGGTGGAACATATAAGTGACATATGTTCCTATGTTAGTTAAAACTTATTGTTGCCTGACATAATTTGCAGAATCATGCTCTGTACATCATGAACCATCACAAGATATTTATGCTTGGTCATTGAAGAGTTCAGACAAGTGAGGGTTGATTTTCTGCGTCAATCTGGATAACTTATCCAGGAGTTATTAGGTCTGGCTGCTAAAAAAATACTGCATTGCTGAATCCATTCTTGGGGTACCACTGCCTTGAACTGTATATGCTGATATGACTAGTTTTTGTCTGAGTATGCTGTTGGTTCTGGTCTTGGTAACTTGGAACCTTTTATTTTCTGCAATCCAGTTTTGTGTCGGGAAAAATCTGGTTTCTAATTACGCTGATATGACATAATTGGCTTAATTGATGGCCAATTGAACGGTTGATGTAGGTTATAAGGAGCAGCAAACTAAAAAAAATGAGCTGTTTGCCTGTCCCTAATGTATGTCTATTGCTGTCTCAGCTATAATGTTTTACTGAGTAGATAAGAGTTGCTAGCTCCTCAGTTATTACTCCTTATAAATGTATATCTGCTTTATTGCTTAGGCTATCCTCATCAATGCTTATCTTTACCAAAAAGGTTGAATTGAATTGAGCTTCAATCACAGCTAAAACCCAATAAGTAGTTGACTATAGGTGCAGCCCTATTGGTAAATTTGATGCTGGGGAGAAGTTGACCAATACAGCCCTACGCCCCTACCTAGATTAAGTATTTGGAGGAATAGAAGTGTATGGTGTTGAATAAAAATCACGGTCAGACAGCTATTGACATAGGTAGGAGAGAATATGATATTTGTTGGCTAGGAAGATGTGGAGCAATAGGCAGGTGAGTGGTGACTATTGGGTTCTTAGAATACTCTAAGGGAGGCCTTTAAAGGATTGGGCTATGGAGTGTTTAGTAGCTGTTTCTTAAGGATAAGCGCTGGAGATTCATGTTGATGGTTGAAGAAGAAGGCAGAGTTTTAGATCTTAGTGCCTTAATTTCTTTGTTAATAAGTACCTTCAAGTAATAGGAGGATAACATCTTTCCGAGCCTGCTTCTAGGTGTAAGATATAAGGTAAAATTCAAACCCATGGATTTCCTAGAATCAGTACCTCATGGGAGGTGTTTGGTTCCTCCTTTTCTTTTCTCACTCCTCCTTTTATCTCTTCCAATGCCTCTTCCTCTATCTCTTCCCCACCCCATTGTGCTCTCCTCTCTCTTTCACCATTATGGAGCTTCTTGAGCAGTGGCTCTGTGCTCTAATGTATGAAGTGCATAGTTAATCTTAAGGTCGTCGAGAGTAATTCACTTTGTCCCGTAAAACTTAATTTTTATACTTCTAATCAAGTAAGAATATCTTACACGTACTATTGATACACTGTCATTTTACGCATAAGAGCTACCCAATTTTAGGGATTAGAGCTCTGATTATAATGTTGCTTTTGGTGGTGGGGGAGGGAGGGTTGGGTGAGCGGAGCCTTAAGCCATGAATGCTTTTAGTCACTGGCTAATGCTGAGTTTATATTATATTTTATCTTTCTCTAGGTAACTGATTTCACAGAGATTTCCTTTTATCTTTGCTCTTTTATTAAATGTGTTTCTGCAATTCTAAGTTAAAGAGGAAACTCTGCTTGCATGAAGTGAAGAAAGTAAAGTTGTTAATGATTGTATGTGGTGTCAGTTTTTGGTGTTTGCACTATGCATGGGTTTGAGCAATGGATGAGATAGTCTGGAAGGTGAAATAAATTAATGACCTTTTTGTTACATTATGTCCGTTATGTAAAGTAATTCAACATGCTGTTGTGTGAATTTTTTTTTCCATAAGTTGTATTTAAAATCACACTGTGTGTCATAAGCTGTCATATCTGCATTAGCCATTGTAACTCGAAGCTCAAGTTAAGTGTATTACTGTTTATATTCTTGAAATTCACCTATAAGAAAACTTTGGGCCACACTTAAGTCACTACGAATGTTTGAAGTCTTTTTCTTTACAGATTATCTTGATATGCTGTTTAAAGTTCTATAACTGTACGTAATATCTAAGAATTTTTTTTATAAACCCATTCTGATAAGGAAGTTGAGAATTTTTAGTCTATCATGTCACATTGCAACTGTGTCGATATGATGTGCAACACCTGAAAAATACCAATTTTGTAATACTGAGGTTGCCACAGTTATGAAGACTGAATGCATTAGAAAGTTTTTCAATACTTGTTATTATATCTCTCTTTGACAGTTTGACAAACACTAGCTTTCAAGATACTACTTCTACAAAGGAATGAATATAATAAATAAATAGAAAACTAAATCTAGACACAAATTGCTATCTTGGTCATTGTATTTGTCTCATGTACTAAGGTGTTTACTGAGTTATATGCCTTTCAAGTGAAGCTTTACCACAGAATGTTGAACTTCAATCTTACCATTTTCCCTGTCCAATTTCATTTTGAAGGATTACAGACTCAAGCATCCAGATGTAATGGTTCTTGATCCTCCTTATGCGATACAATGTGTGAGAAATAGACAGTCCATGCTTGAAGATGTAGCTGCTTTGGGCTTGGCTGATTCTTATGGTAAACACTGTTACATGTTGCTGAGTGCTGACATTTATCTGATTTTAATAAGATCTTATTAATATTTATAAGGAGAACAATACTTTCTCCATTTTCCTTATATTTCTCTATTGGTTGGAAATATTCTTGTACTTCTCAAGTTTAATTTTTTCAAAAAGTTGGCTTACTTATTTGGATTCTCGTTCCGTGATCTCATTTGTCTTCTGGTGTTATAGATGTTTATCGTGTTGACCTGATGTATTATCTATTATTTTATATCCGTTAGGCAGGGTATGTGTGCCTAAACAGCTGGTTATCGAGAAAGATCCTACGTTGATTCCTGCCGAGGTTGCTAAAGCTGGATTGAAACTCCCATTAGGTATGCATCCTGTGCTCTGTTTCTGTCCATTGTAAATCAATAGTTGTAGTTTGTACTGCTTTTTTTAATGGTAGAGAGCCTCAGATGCGAACATAGTGGTTCTATCATTGCCCACAGGATGTGCGAACTGTTTAAATTGTAGTACACCTATATCATGCATATTTGGATTATTGTGTTTCTATTTTATAATGTAGTGTTGGCATCTAGTGCTCTCTCGAGTGTTGGTTGTTTGAAAGGCTTATAATTGTAAAGCATGAGAACGTTGATGATGCATGAATGACAATGAGTCTTGGTTCTTGAATGGTGTATAAAACAATGGTGGTATATATGATTGTTTACATTTTGTGATAATGAAAAATATTTAGATGCTTGCATAGTTGCCTGGTTGCCCCTACGTGCATTGAACAGGTTTGCTTTGTCAGTTGCAAAAGAACCTTGGCATTTGGCTAGCAATTTATTTTTCTTGGTTTAGTTTCCATGTTGGAAGACAGAAATGTTTATGGATATAGAAAATAGAATGCAACATTAACTTTGGAATGGCTTCAAGATTCTCGTGTCCTTGGTATGTTGGTATTTGTTCAGTGAATTGAACTTGGGCTTTTGGATTGTATTGCAGTGTCGAAACCATTGTTTGTGGATGGAAGTGCAAAGTCACACGAGCTATTCCTTGCTTATGATAATGTCTCTCTATCGAATCTTGAGCCTCCATTGATTCTTCAGGAGTTTGTTAACCATGGTAAGTTATTTTGATATATTAACATAGTACTCCGTATGTCTTTTTTCCCTGCCCTTCCTAGTTCGTCTGTAGGTAACCAAAGATATCAATCACTTCTTTTGTTTCAATGCAGGTGGTGTCATGTTTAAAGTCTATGTTGTTGGGAATGCTATAAAAGTTGTAAGGCGATTCTCTTTACCAGATGTCTGCAAGAGAGAGCTCTCAAAGTATGCTGGGGTTTTCCAGTTTCCAAGGGTTTCATGTGCTGCAGCAAGTGCTGATGAGGCAGATCTAGAGCCTGGTATTGCTGGTAAGACTATGTTACCATACACCAACTAAGGAAAATTAGAGTTCTGAGGCCAATTGTGCTACTGCTGGCTCATATAGCTTTCCCAGTGTCTGAAATGACAAATGACTGACAAAGAAAATGATATGATAATCACACTGCTTATGACATGCTGGAATGCTGGATGTGGGTTATATTGTGGATTTCATGGAAACCTTTTGTCATTTAAAATAGTTCTCCACGAGAGGAGCTGTTGTGGTCAAATTATTTGTTGTCTTATTTTTTATTGATGCGAAATTAGTCACTTAACTGCTGACTCATTTTAAAGTGAATTACTCGGTACTTATTTGTCTTCAATAGCCTCTTTCCTGTTGGTGGTGTTGAGGTTGGAGGGGGTAACAATATATTTTGTCCTGAACAATCTTTTGTTGGGTGTAAGGAGAGTTTGTATTTTTCAAAGTATGGAAAGCCTCTATTTGAGTGTTTTACGTCTGACAGGATTGCACTGTATTTTGTTTGTTTCAGAGCTTCCTCCAAGACCGATGCTTGAGAGACTTGTTGGGGAACTTCGCCGCCGAATGGTAATTCCCTGTTGTTCATTGTGTCCGCCTTTTTATAGCATGTTGTCTCTAGACATACCTCTGCTTCTGACCCTTGCTGTATTTTTCAGGGGCTTCAGCTGTTCAATATTGATATTATCCGTGAGCATGGGAAAAGAGATCTATTCTATGTAATCGACATAAATTACTTCCCTGGTTAGTTTCTTCATCTATCTTGAATGTTGATATATGCCTGAACCACCCTCTCTTCCCAGTAAGCACCAAGTGCAAAACTTCAAGATTGATCATTTTACTTAACCTGGGATACAATTCATTCTAATTGTGAAATTGGCAATTCCATCTATCAGGTTATGGAAAAATGCCGGGATATGAACACATATTTACTGATTTCCTGGTGGGCCTTGCGGACAGTAAAAACCAAAAGCAGCTCGAGTTATAAGTTCAGAGGTTATGAAGCCATTGGCATAAACCTGCTTGCAGGCCATTCCGCAGAAAAGCTGAATACCTGTCAAGATCTTGGATTTTCTAAATGCTAACTGGTATGAATGACCCTCCACAAATGCTTAGCTTTTTTAGCAGTTGAAGCATTAAGGTTCACGTGCTAGTGGCTATTATATCTAGCAATGAAGCAAACTTGTTTTATGTAAATATGTAATCAGGTATTGTCCCACTCTTTGGGGCACTTTGATACATGCTCTGGATTTGGCAGAAGCTAACTTATTCAGATCGTGATTTCTGGTGGAAATTCGGCATGGCTGAGTGCAATTACAAGTGAAGCTATGTACCTATAGTCCTCCAATCCTGAATTTGATTTCCCTTCATGAATTCTTGAATCTTGATTCAATCTAATCCTAGCAAATGGAGAGAATAAAGGATCATCCCTTATAAGAGCAAAATAATTGTGTAATTTTTTTTTTGGTTTTGTTTTTTGTTTGAATAGCCCTAGCCGCTAGTGCTAAACCGCCAATCATCATGGTATTCTATTGATTGTTCTGGTGGTATTAGTTTTGTAGGTGTTTGAATTTTTAATTTTTTATTCTGAAGGAGATGTTCACTGGTTCTCGTTTAGCCTTTTAATTGTTAATTTACGAAGCCTTACAAAGGTGTATCATCTTTTGGTTTATGTTACCTTTTAAACGTTTGAGATTAATGTCTTCCCATGATATTCTTTTTGGCATAAGGCATGACTCTTGGGGCTGTGCTAGAAAAACATGGAAAGGACCAGAAGCTTCAACCACCCAAGCTCAAACCATGTGTCTTGCTTGGGCTTACATGACATTTAAGTCTATTGACAGTAGCAACACGAAAACATAAGAAGAGCCATTTATAATATTGGTTTATTTGTTTGTGTTTTTTTATGATTATACTCTCGTATATGTTTGGAACTAATGTTATGTATCAGAGAGGTATACTGTACTGGAATAATCTCCAAATAGAAAAGAAAAAAAAAAAATGAATTAAGAGTGGAGTAGACAGAGTAGGAGTGTAGGACGTGGTATTAATCGTATTATGTATATCTACAATTGACGCTAACCAAACAGCCAACAATAGCGTCAAAGAAAAATGCACAAGTACTTATTAGTTATTATTACATGTTCTTATCAGCACAAACTTGTACCCATGCGCAATTATTCATATGGTAACCTCTGAGCTCCAATCACTTTTAGCCTTCCCTTGGGGCAGGACGCCTAGAATGAGCGACGAGTGAAAAGATGCATCACGTTCTTCCATCTAACGCTAGCGCCAAAAACTGGGCGATTATATCAACTGCAGGTCTAATCAGATTCGAGCAATAAGCCAATGATAACAACATCAAGAATCAGATTCTGAGAATTTGACAGCTAACCAACTCAGAAGGCCCAGTTCTCATTGATGCAATGACTTTCCAGGTAACTTCTGACGGAGACGATGCAACAGAGCTTTCAGTTAAAGAGCATCTGCTAGACAATGAATTCAACTGTGCGGGTTGTGCCAAGGGTCCCGTAGCAGCTTGCAAAACTGCAATATCAGAATTGGCATCTTTAATGATCACATGAAGCTTTCCAAGGAAACCAGCAAGTAAATATGGAGATTCAGCATCAGTTTGATCATGAGTCATAGGAACTTCTTCAGATATAACTTTCCAAGAATCATCTTGGTGATCATATACTTTAATCTTAGCATTATCCAAAGAGCCTGACAGATCCAAAGCGTATAACTCATCATCAACTACAACACTCAATTTGGTTCCTGCCTGCTTAGCAGGCCAACCCTCGCCCATTCCAATAGGCATTTCAATCCATGAATTAGTTTCTGGGTCGTATATTTCGCCACCAGCATCAACAAAGAAAGGCCAGCAGTACAAACTTTGAGGCACATAAAGCTTATTCTTGTATGTTGTCAATCCTGTTGCTATTGGCTTGAGAAGATCAGCTAAAAAAGCAGTAGGCATGACCTGAGCCTTAGCGAATGGCATGCTGGGAACCTCAGACCACTGATCTGTCTCAGGGTCAAACACTTCGGCACACTGCAAAGGAGTTAACCCACCTCTGTATCGGCTAACCCCTCCAACAACGTAGAGTTTGTTGTTAATGACTCCTGTCTTACTATAAGCTCTACCAGTTAACATGGGACTCACTTCATTCCAGGTATTTAGAATAGGATCATAGCGTCGGACACACCTTAAAGCTGAGGTCCTCGAAAGTCCCCCAACTACATAGAGACAACCATTCACAGCCGCAATTGAACAGCCACAGAAAGGAAGTTTGTCCAGTGGATCACCTCCACCAAGCCACCCTCTTATCGCTTCTGCTATTTTCAATTTTGATCCCAAAGAGTTCCACACTTGAATAGCCAAGCCTCTACGAGATTCATCATGGGTTAAGTTACGAGGCATTGGGGGCAACCTTTGCCATTTCTGAGAAACAGGATCCAATGCATACCATGATAAGTTATCTTCAACACGAGACAGTATGAAAAGCCACTCCTCGGTTATTGTAAACTCTCTTCTTAAATCATATATTTCAGAAGTAGATAAAGCTTCTTTCCAAGTCCGAGAAACCAACTTCAGTTGCAAATAGTAAGCTCTAGGCACTCTGGCAAGAATCTGGAGTGATAGTTCATTTGGAAGAGAAGGAATTAGTCTTGTGCTATGCTCAAAGCACCTTGTTACCCTTAGCCGCTTGCAAGAGCCTCTACTTGTATCCTCATAGTCCAGCCGTTTACACTCACTGGAACTGTTCAGGCTGAATATACCACCCATTAAGCTGAGCAAGTCAATTCATAACCATAAAAAGTACGAGGCCTTCATACAGAAAAAAAGGGTATTCGTTAATCTCTAAGAGTGAACACAATAGAAAAGGTTGACTCAGCTACAAAACCAAAGATTTGTCCCTAAATTGAGGAAAAAACTACAGAGGCCATTGCTAAGGGAGACACAGATCCTATACTGTTGCAACAATCCAAGGAAAACACAAAGGAGTCCAACCCTTGTATTCGTCCCTAAAATCCTAGATTGTGTATAAAACTAAAGAGGCCATTGCTAGGGAAGATACAGAACCTATAGACTTTAGATAATGTGGCAACAATCCAAGGAATACGCGAATGAGTCCAATCCATATATTCGTCCCTAAATTGTTCCACATCACCTAGGCTCGTGCACCCGGAGACACAGACGACTAGGTGTTACGGTGTCCATGGCTAAAGTCTACCATCAATTAAATCAATTGTCAACAAATGAAGTCAATCTCTCTTCTGTCAATGCAAATATTGAAAATGATATACAAATACCTAACTACAACCAGTCAATAATATATCAAATCATACTAAGATTCCATTCAAATTCCAGACATTCTTGCATTAAATAAACACGAATATTGCAAATACACTTGTTTTCACACTCCAAAAACCAATGTTGATTGTGCAAAAACTGACCAAATCATTATTTACACTCTGTTTACATTTCTTAAAAATCTCAACTAAAAGCATGTAATTTCCCTCATCTTCAAACTCAAATTCACAGCTACTTCAACAAGATTTTCCCCAAACTATAAAGCAATTAATACCAAAAAAATTCTAATACAAACAAAAAACAAAGTTAATTTTTTTGCAATCAAATCAATATGAATAGTTTTTTGCAAATTTTCCTGAGAATCACTTTACGAACACCCAAAAGAAAGTTAAGAATATGCAAAATCAACGCAATGAAGAAAGGTATGAAAAATTTCTATTCATAGAAATACTAAAAAAGGAAACTAGAACTTCTAATTTGCGATCAATTAATCAATTAAGGGTTAATTAAAAGGGGGAAAACAAAACCTGAATTACGCCGCAATTTAATCGGAAGAAATAGTTTAGTTTGAGCATGAGAATAATTTGCAGAGATCTGACAGAATTAAAATTAAGATTGATAGAATCCGGAAGAAATTGAATAATGAAGGTACAAAAACAGAGATTTTGAGGAGAGAGAAAGTGAGCAGGAGATCCACGAGTATATTTTGTATATATACTGCTTCTTATGCGCTAGGACCTTAGGAGAGAGACTGTGTTTAACCACAAACTTCTTGGAGTGTTGTATTGCGTACAATAACACAAATCAAAATTAGCAAGTGACACAATCCTACGAAATAACATTATCTTTTTTTTTTTTTTTTTTTTTTTTTTTTTTTTTTTTTTTTTTTAAGGAAAATATTATCTGATCTTGGTGATTGCAACTTGTCGTATTTTAGATCATAGACACATGTGCACGATATTTAGTTTCCACCAATAATTGTGATTCATTCTGACTAAAATTCAACCCAATGTGAAACAAAGTATTTGATCCAAATGCGAGATATGTAATTTGAATTGATTAAAAAAATGAAATCCAAATCCAAATGTATGTATATAGAATAATAGTAATTCGTAAATAGGAAGTATTGATTTTGAGTTATTTTTATAAAAGGTCCTATGGTTGCTATGTTGGGACATGGGATTGAATCTCAATATTTTGTACCCTCTAATACCCTCCGGGAGTCCAATTAGGTGGGTGGAACCATCCAATTTGCCTTAAAACATTCAATTTACCAATTCGCAACTTGCACCGATCTTGTGAACTCAAGCCTACCTTGGACTTTTTAGACATCATATAATGGTCATATATGGTTCAAACGACATTATATGACCCTAAGATGTATACCCTAGGGTCTCAACACTTTTCTCCACCTAGCCCCGTAACCTAAAAAATTCCTCAAAAAGCGTGGATAATAACCTTCAATTTTAAAATTTTTAGACTTTTTTTCGCCCGGAAATTAAAATTGCCAAGATGTTTACCATGGTCCCTTATACCCACCGGGACTCCAATTGGGTGGGTGAAACCATCCAGTTTTCCTTAAAACGGTCAATATACCAATTCGCAACCTACACTGAATTTGTGAACTCAAGCCTACCACGGACATTTATGACATAATTTAATGGTCATATATGGTTCCAAACGACATTATATGACCCTAAGATGTATCTGGTAGGGTCTCAACACTTTTTGCCACCGGGACCCGTAACCTCAAAAATTCCTCAAAAAGCTTGGATAATAGCCTTCAATTTTGGAATTTTTTGAATTTTTTCGCCCGAAAATAAAAAGTCACGAGATGTTTACCATGGTCCCTATTATCCACTAGGAGTCCAATTGGGTGGGTGGAACCATCCAATTTGCCTTAAAACGGTCAATTTACCAATTCGCAACTTGCACCGATTTTGTGAACTCAAGCCTACCACGGAAATTTATGACTTCATTTAATGGTCATATATGGTTCCAAACGGTATTATATGACCCTAAGATATATCTCCTAGGGTCTCAACACTTTTCGCCACCGGGCCCCGTAACTTCAAAAATTCCTCAAAAAGCATGGATAATAGCCTTCAATTTTGGGATTTTTTTTGACTTTTTTCTTTCGGAAATAAAAAATTGCCGAGATGTTTACCATGGTCCCTAATACCCTCGGGGAGTCCAAATGGAGGGTGGAATCATCCAATTTGCCTTGAAACGGTCAATTTACCAATTTGCAACTTGCACCGATTTTGTGAACTCAAGCCTACCACGGACATTTATGAGATCATTTAATGGTCATATATGGTTCCAAACAGCATTATATGACCCTAAAATGTATCCCTTAGGGTCTCAACATTTTTCGCCACTGGGCCTTGTAACTTCAAAAATTCCTCAAAAAGGGTAGATAGCCTTCAATGTTGGAATTTTTTGACTTTTTTTCGCCCAGAAATAAAAATTTCTGAGATGTTTTACATGGTCCCTAATACCCTCCGGGAGTCCAATTGGGTGGGTGGAACCATCCAATTTTCCTTTAAACGATCAATTTACCAATTCGCAACTTGCGCCGATTTTGTGAACTCAAGCCTACCACGGACATTTATGACATCAATTAATGGTCATATATGGTTCCAACTGGCATTACATGACTCAATGATGTAACCCATAGGGTCTCAAAACTTTTCGCCACCAGACCCGTAACGTCAAAAATTCAACAAAAAACGTGGATAATAGCCTTCAATTTGGAATTTTTTGACTTTTTTCGCCCAGAATTAAAAATTGCTGAGATGTTTAACATGGTCCCAACTACCCTCCGCGAGTCCAATTAGGTGGGTGGAACTATCCAATATGCCTTTAAACAGTCAATTTACCAATTCGCAACTTGCACCGATTTTGTGAACTCAAGCCTACCATGGACATTTATGACATCATTTAATGGTCATATATGGTTCCAAACGACATTATATATATGACCCTAAGATGTATTCCCTAGAGTCTCAACACTTTTCGCCACCGGACCCCGTAACCTCAAAAATTCCTCAAAAGCGTGGATAATGCCTTTAATTTTGGAATTTTTAGACCTTTTTTTGCCCGGAAATTAAAATTGCCAAGATGTTTACTATGGTCTCTAATACCCTCCGGTAATCCAATTAGGTGGGTGGAACCATCCAATTTGCCTTAAAACAGTCAATTTACCAACTCACAACTTGCACCGATTTTGTGAACTGAAGCCTACCACGGACATTTATGACATCATTTAATGGTCATATATGGTTCCAAACGGCATTATATGACCGTAAGATGTATTCCCTTTGGGTCTCAACTTGTTTCGCCATCGGCCCCAATAACATAAAAAATTCCTCAAAAAACGTGGATAATAGCCTTCAATTTTGGAACTTTTTGACCTTTTTTGCCCGGAAATAAAAATTGCCGAGATGTTTACCATGGTCCCTAATACCCTCGGGGAGTCCAATTGAGTGGGTGGAACCATCCAATTTGCCTTAAAACGATCAATTTACCAATTCGCAACTCTCATCGATTTTGTGAACTCAAGCCTACCACAGACATTTAAGAAATCATATAATGGTCATATATGGTTCCAAACAGCATTATATGACCCTAAGATGTAATCCCTAGGGTCTTAACACTTTTCGCCACCGGGCCCCTTAATCTCAAAAATTCCTCAAAAAGCGTGGATAATAGCCTTCAATTTTGGAATTTCTTAAAGTTTTTTCGCCAGTAAATAAAAATTTCCGAGATGTTTATCATGGTCCCTAATACCCTCCGGGAGTCAAATTAGGTGGGTGGAACCATCCAATTTGCCTTAAAACGATCAATTTACCAATCCACAACTTGCACCGATTGTTTGAACTCAAGCCTACCACAGACATTTATGACATCATTTATGGTCATATATGGTTCCAAACGGTATTATATGGCCCTTAAGTGTATCCCCTAGGGTCTCAACACTTTTCGTCACCGGGCCCCGTAACCTCAAAAATTCCTCAAAAAGCATGGGTAATGCCTTCAATTTTGGAATTTTTTGACCTGTTTTCGCCTAAAATAAAAAATTGTCGAGATGTTTACCATAGTCTCTAATTATCTCCGGGAGTCCAATTGAGTGGGTGGAACCATCCAATTTGCCTTAAAACGAACAATTTACCAATTCGCAACTTGCACTGATTTTGTGAACTCAAGCCTACCACGGACATTTATGACATTATATAATGGTGATATATGGTTCCAAATGGCCTTATATGATCCTAAGATGTATCTCCTAGAGTCTTAATACTTTTCGCCACCGGGCTCGGTAACCTAAAAAATTCCTCAAAAAGCGTGGATAATAGCCTTCATTTTTTGAATTTTTGACCTTTTTTTGTCCGAAAATAAAAATTGCCGAGTTGTTTACCATGGTCCCTAATACCCTCCGGGAGTCCAATTGAGCGGGTGGAACCATCCAATTTGCCTTAAAATGATCAATTTATTAATTCGCAACTTGCACTGATTTTGTGAACTCAAGCCTACCACGAACATTTATGACATCATTTAATGGTTATATATGGTTCCAAACGGCATTAAATGACCCTAAGATGTATCCCCTAGGGTCTCAACACCTTTTGACACCGGGCCCTGTAACCTCTAAAATTCCTTAAAAAGGCGTTGATAATAGCTTTCAATTTCGGAAATTTTTGACATTTTTTCGCCTGAAAATTAAAATTACCGAGATGTTATAATGGTCCCTACTACCCTCCGGGAGTCCAATTGGGTGGGTGGAACCATTCAATTTTCGTACACTCCTCCTGTATTAACTATACGCTTTCACGGGGCTTGTACATAGTCGAATAATGGTCATATATGAGTCAAAGCAATATTATATGTCCCCGGGATGCATCCCGTAATGTTCCGTGAAATTCCCACACCAGGTCCCGACACATCCTAAATTGTTCCGATTTCGTGTTTTATAGCCTTCATAGTTGGCTTCCGTATATCATTATATTTTTACCCGGCGAGATTATGCATCTAAGTACTTCCTTGGATTCCCAAAGGCCCTTGGGAGTCATAAACAGTGTCCGGAACCATCTAATTCATCCTTAAACTTCATGTCTTAAGGACCTTAGGAGTCTTAAATAGTGCTCGGAACCCGGTATGCCTTGTCCTTGGGTGCACATGTCTTATGCACATGCCACACGGCCCTTGCCCACTTGTACCATCCAAAATTCCAACACTTAGGCTTTGTGACACCTCTTAATCCCGTACTTAGCCTTTTTTAGCATACGAGATGCATCGCTAAACTCATTTTCTTAAATATAGGTGTTTTTAGGGAATAGGGTGGGGGGAGGGACGAATAGAAATGACACAGGGCTGAATCTCACTATCCACCGCGCGAGCTTAGCCTATGACACATGCCGAAACCCCTACTGTAAGACGACATCGGGCGGTGGGCGCATGCGTCGCTTCTGGCTCGGATTTTGACTTAGTGGCGTTCAGTCATAATCCAGCTCACGGTAGTTTTGCGCCACTGGCTTTTCATTCAGGCGACGCATGCGCCACACGGCCCCTTGCCCACGCCCAAGGAAGAAACCCCACGCCCTAGGAGAAACCCCACGCCGAAGCTCAAACCCCATGCCCAAGGAAATAACCCACGCCCATCATGAAACCCCACGCCCTAGGAGACACCCCACGCCGAATCTCAAACCCCACGCCCATCATGAAACCCCACGCCCTAGGAGAAACCCCATGCCTATCAACCCTACGCCCAAAAATCAAACCCCACGCCTACTGTATCAACCCCACGC